ACCATTGAATACATCCTACATATATGTACAACCTGGTTTTTACTAGACCCTGAAATGTCAGGGTTTGAATATTTACAAAAATGATGTGAAACATAATTATTCAGAAAACTGAAAACAAAAACAAAAAAAGATGTTAAGTTATATGGAGTTACTGTGCGTTACGAGTAAAATTTTGATTGACATATTTGAGCCTGAATTAGTAGATTAATAATTGGTTTGTGTTTCTTTGTTCTTTATTTTGTCAAGTTATTGAATTTATCATAATTATGAAGACTTGTTATAATACTAAAAGTTAAATTTTATGTAAATCAATGTAGCATACCACTTTCTAATTAATCAGTTACAGTAAATATGTCAATAGACATTAGATTTACTTGTATCGCCTACATTGTTATCTATATATGCAAGCTACTGTACATGAATAGTAGTATTATTTTTGTTTAAGGAAAACCTAAAGACAGCGATGGCGATAACAAATGCATGTGTTCAGCCTGTAGATATACAATGTCGTAAAAACCTGAATACAGAGATCTTACGAAGAGGAAACAGCAGTCATTACAGGTGTACTGTGCACATTATACAGGTCTACTTCATGTCAACCAGGAAGATAATTATCACGTGACTTAAAGGTCAGACTTACTTGCAGCGATTTACGTATGCATAATAGACATTTGCGGAAACTATAGGTCTATACCTAGGATTACATTTAGACTTACGATTACAGTTGACGAAGAACAAAGGATCATTTCAAAATGTAAAATACAGAGATACATAGTAAAACCAAATGATTTTTTTCCATTATTTAGATAAATCTTTTCGAGGACAAACTAATAAAACCTTCTTGGATATCATCACAATCCCAATAATTTTAGATTTTTTTTAGTTCTCCGATGGCGTGTTCAACCTCTACTCTATAGTGTGTGATGCGTCTATCTAATTTTCTGCTCTTTCTCTACATTTTCTGGGGTTTTCAGTACAATATATTGTCTTATAAAAGATGTCAATACTAAATGTCTGTTTATGTGTATTTTGTCGCCCACCAAAAAACGGCAGAGAACCATACGCTTTCACCCGGAAATAGAGTACTTATTTTTACTATATGGTTTTAAATATAAAAGAAGATGTGGTATGATTGGAAATGAAACAACTCTCAACAAGAGATCAAAGACAAATAAATTAAGAACTATAAGTCACCGTACGGCCTTCAACAATGAGCAAATCCCATACCGCATAGTCAGTTATAATAGGCTCACAAATGTAAAAAACATTCAAACGAGAAAACTAACGGCCGAATTTCTGTACAAAATAAACAAATATGTAACACAAAAAAAAAACGACAACCACTGAATTACAGGCTCCTGACGTGGGATAGGCATATACAAATGTGGCGGGGTTAAACATGTTAGCGGGCGCCAAACCCTCCCCTAACCTAACCTAGGACAGTGGTGTAAATGTAGAACATAAGAACAAACTATAAAAATCAGTTGAAAAAGGCTTAACTCATCAGATGGATACAAATAGATATACATTTAACAAAAACATAGAGTGGGCGTGGCTAGGTACTTGTGCAGTGCTTTGGAAATATAAATGTGTTTCGTTTACAGAAGAACACTTTTTAATCCGCAACTGCTCTATAACCGATGTAAAATCTTTGTGATTTTTTTTGACAATTTCAACCTCGCATGATATACTTTTTTGCACAATTTTCGACTTTTAATCATAAGGAATAATTTTGCGGACAAAGTATGTGTTGAAATTGAAACAAATAAAAATGCACTCTAGATATTGTACCGGTCTCAGGATCAGGAGTTACTTCAATTTAGTTGGAAAAGAGAGGCGAAAGATACCAAAGGGACATTCAAATTCCTAAAACTGACAACGTCATGGCTAAAAAAAGAAAAAGACAAACAAACAATAGTACATAAAACACAACATAGAAAGACTGCGCACAAACCCCACCAAAAACTGAAAGAAGGAAAGTTTGGTCTTGAACCGGTTTTCTTTGAAAAATGTCATCTGACTTTCTTCAAGGTTTTGTGTGCGTGTGCAAAGGGTAATCGGTGTGCAGTAAGGGTTGTGCATTTTGAAGATAACTTTGTCTATGTCAAGCATCAGGCCTGTGTCATTATATCAATACTTACATGACATATGTTGATGATAATTATGATGATTGATTATCTGTGTTATTTACATCTTAAACATTCGAATGACTTTAAAAACGTACCTTAACAAACGTCAAATAACGCCAAGAAACGTTGACAGGATACTAGTATATTTTTAAAACCTTTATACGGGCACATTTTGATGTAAAACAAATATGTCATTGGTACCTTTAGTCTGAAATAAAAATATCCAATACTGACTGAAAAAAATCCAGTGGAACTAAATCCAAAAACATTAAGGTCTTACCGCTCCTTTACTAAGTCGATTAAAAACTTCATTTTTATGTAAATTTGTATAATCCAAGTTCAAGGCTTTCATTGTATAGAACAAAATGGAGTCATAAATGAACACAATTTATTTACTGATAAAGAAACGTCAATTTTAACGTATAAAAACGTTATTTTATTTTATTTGATATATCCTACAAGCTTCATAAATGCGTAATCAAGTATTGTTTGCCGACATATCAACATATTGAATATTTCTAAAATAAACACCAAATTTTACTGTTAAGACATCATTTGGAAATAAATAATTGTTAACCTTTGAACCTTATTATACAAAAATGTGACCACTTCTGAGGCTTACGACATCATTAATCGGAAATTCACGATTTTCTCTTTTCAAGGATATATAATTTAGCCGTCTGTTCTATGGGTGCATTAACTTTTTTTAATGTTTCTAAGCTGGTCTAATAATTATTATTTGATCACACAAGACACGCAAGATTTTTCTTAACGAGTTGAGAAGTCTCTATTAGACTGTATAACGTTGAAAAAGAAAAGGCACAATATATTATATGAGTAAAGATTCCTCTACACTATATTATCACTAGCCTGTCATCACTTTGCGTTCGAATGCGATTTTAATTAATTTTACAAGGTTTCATTCCGGAGTTCGGTGGTTTTCTCCGGTCACTCGGCTCCATCAGAAATTAAAACTGACCGTAACGATAAAGGCACGAGTTCTGAAAGTTGCGTTAAACATCACCATCCAGTCAATCAAATACTATGGGTTTCACTTTTACGAATCATAGTCTAGGACTATTTTGTTTAAGAAATATATGTTCTACTTTTAAGAATTTCTTTTTGGACCCAGTCTGATTTTTGTTTTGATGGTGATACATTTTACATTTATTCCAATCATTTTGAAAAAAAAATCCTCTCAAGCCGGTGCTAGGAGTCGTCTTAAACTTTCAGTGACGTGAAAAAATATGTTTACCCCCGAGTTGAAGGTCTCATTGTGACTTTGAGCTGAAAAACAGCAATAAAAGTGCTGTTCCTTTGCCTTTTGTGTGTTTTTAGCTGTTCATGTTCCGATTTTGGGTCTTCGGTGGGAAGTTAGTGTGTTGTTTGCAGTGTGAAGGTAATGTGAAATAGCTATACTGAAGATTTACCCAAGGTAAAAATTGTTTGTTAACACGAATACAAGGAGATGTCGGATGTATTTGGCAAAACTTTTAAGAATTTCAGGTCCACGATGCTCTTCAACTTTGTATTTTGTTTGGCATTTTTTAACTTGTTTTAATTTACTAGAGCGTCACTGATGAGTCTTTTGAAGACGAAACGCGCGTCTGGAGTACACAATTTTAATTCTGGTATCTATGATGAGTTTATATATAAATTAATAATAAAGCGATCAAACTAACAAATAACAAACAATTTTCTTCAAGGAAAATCAGTCTTCAAGAATATTGATTGTATGTACAAAATGTCCAGATATTGTGATAAAATAATGCAGAAACTATCAAAGATCAGCCATCAACAACACATTATCCGAATTAAAACAACCTTTAGATATGAAATAAATATATATTATGAATAATCTGATTTCCTTTGTCAAGTGAAATACTTTTTAGATTAAAATACAGATAATGAAATATGAGATACTATTTATTATATTTTATTAGATGAATTCCAAAATCATTTCGTTTTAACATGGATCCATATCCACATTATTAGGGTCAAAAGTGTTCCTTTGCAGACAGTGAATGAAATCACGATCGCATGTACAAACATTCCAATCACACGTCCCAAAGGCATATAAAAAGAAAACATTACTAAAAATTTACACTGTCAAATATAGCGATATAAAACACAATTTTATATTTTAGGCATTTATTGATATTTCTTTACACACGAAAAATACTAAAAATAACCATAAAAAAGTTTTCAGTTTCCTATACTTTTCATTAATCTTTTAAATTAGAAACAGCCATCAGTTATTTAACGTTAACAAAGGTATAAATTGTATAAATAATATTCATCTTTTCTTAAAAAAAAATGATAAAACACCGAGGCATTAATCAGCTTTCATCTTTTATTAAGTTAATAATTAAGGTCGTCTAATTAGAAAAAGAAAATTCAGTCCCCGCTCCTCTATGAGCTCACGTACTGTTGAAGATGATTAGAACCCTGATGTTAATACAGGAACGAGGTAAATAGGAAGGGACGTTGATTACGAATTGTGTACATGATCGTCTGTGACAAAATTTTCCGTGCCGTTATCATTTTTTTTTTATTTATCATATTCTTGTTTTGAGTCTTATTTCTAAAACACAGAAGTCAAGATTTACCTTCACATATCATTGTATTCCCCTGGAATGAGTACGAGTAGTATTCCCATTTTGGAGAGCAACTATCGAATGTGTCATAACAACTATCGTGAGCTTGACAACATCTAAAAATAGAAAATATTATTTCGTCCTAAAACAATAAATGTACATAACAATTTAGTATTATCAAACAATTCAATTGAAACTGACGAACTTTTCAATTTTTTCAGACAAGGGATAAACTGTCATAGTTGTATAATATATCTTTGTATAATATACATACCTATCAACGCCATCTACCGGTGTACCACTTCCTCCCCAGCCACAATAACACCCATAACCAATTAGTTCTCCAACTCTTTTAGATCCAAACACATGCTTTATCTGATTTCGGAACTGCACCAAGTTTCTCTTTTCTATGTTTGAGCCGGCTGTTAAATATAAGTAAAACTGTTACATACTGTCAATTCATTTTTCTTCGTTGAATACAAATTTTCGTGTATTTCGTTGGTACAAGTGAACCACGAATTTAAATGTTCCATGAAATACGAATTTGCTATTGGGTTGTATGCATACGTTGGCAAAACCACGAAATCAAATATCCACGAAGATGCAAGATTTCTTCAATCCACGAAAATTGGTACCCACGAAAAAAAAAAGGACTCCACAGTATACAATTATATATTTTATTTGTTTCTCTTATTATAACAAATGATTTTGAATTAGTGGAAGGTTGCAATAAGTTTTAAGATAACTAAGGGCCATTTCTAGAACTTGTTTTATGCAAATTAGTTTGTTAGTATACATTAACAACAACATAAAGTATTAGATCAAGACATGAATTATGTCAGAAGATGCGTCTGGAGTTAGGTTTTGGTTTTGATAGATATATTATATCCCAACTTTATTAAAACATGCACGTCATCATATCTATCAATCATTTGGAAAGAAAAATATGTAAAAATGTTACGTCTATTAGCTGACTGATAGATAATAGCATACACTATAACCTACGACCCCTTCACATTTTGAAAATGACTGGGCTGGAGCAAGTTGTTAACGTCTACTTATAAGCTAACTGATCCACGTAGGGAGGATTGGAACTATTATTCCAACATTTCGGGCTTGATGTTCCATCAATATCAAATGAGAACAGATATGATAATAACTAATCTGAGCATATACTTTATCTTATACTCACCAGCAATGAATGAGCAAATGGTACAGGCAACAAGAAAGAACACAGAAAATTCACCTGAAATCAAATGCATTCTTTATAATTGTAAAAAGTCTTTGTACACATCCATTGTCGGTATTTTATCAAATTGTTTTATTTTGTTAGGACATCGGTGATATTGACAGATCTGTGCTAAAAAAAAATTCATTTAGAACTATTCTTCACTAAGGTCGATTAAAAGCTTGACACATTGTATAGTCATTGTCAATTGAAAACCGTATGGTGACCACTAGGTGTCCTTTTAAATGTTTTGCTTTCAAATTGACGGTACGCGCATCTTGTCATGCTTATATTTCATGTTTAGGAGTAAACCATAACTTGTACTAAAAGATGTTTTTTTTTCTTCGTGAACACTGTATAATACAGCTAAACTTAAGTCTTAAAAGAACTACTAGGGCGACGCCTAGAAAATGGTTCGATCAATCCACACTAATTATAGAATTGCAACATTGGCGTTCTGCTTTTAGATATCATTAGGGCATCAGTCCTAACGTCCAGATTTTGATCGGACACGGTTCCATATTTATAAATCTGGAACTATCAAACAGACGATCCTCAACATGAGCTTACTACTGGCCAAGAGAAAAATATTTCATACCTCAAATAAACATTTAAGCCTTATCAAACTAAGCAACTGCTTGTGAAAGACATTTTTAAAACGTTTTTGAATTTGGGCTTTTCTTACTCAGATATTTTTTTTTCTATTCTAATCTTTTATTCTAATAAAACAATACACCAACTCGCGATATGTTTCCATGTTTAAAATTCTCAAGACTAATTAATATTGTGACCATTATTTGACAAAAGTATCAATCTATATCAGTATAACTTACCATTATCAAATCACTGTACTTTTAGCTGAAACAAGAAGGACAGATGTAAAGCAAAATTGTTTGAACGGAATTTCGAGAAATCGCAATTAATTTGAAAAAAATACTTTTTTTATTCTATACATGTATATGTGTAGTTCATATATTAATATTTAGATTGTATCTCTAGAAGTATAAATTGTATACATATTATTTTTGCTAACTACAAAATGCATACAGAATTTTATCAATATCCAAAAGACCACTCAATTACGTTTAATTCGCCTAAACATGAAATGGAAGAACAATGTTTAGATATAGCATTTGATATTTCTTATTACATACTTCGATCACGAAAGGAATAAATTAAAATGTTACCTATGAACCAGTTCTTGTCTATTAGATTGATAGAGATCCAATATGACTTACTATGTTCATATTGTCATTAATTCACTCTCTATAAAAGTAACTATTGATTGCAGTAGAGGGCCACAAAAATAAAAACAAAAACATGTCATGACAAAGAATGTGAAAGTAATACTTTCCAAATAGATGCCAAAAAACCAAACAAACGGTCTACAATTACCAAAAACATAATATTATTTCAATTCTAGGTAAATAAACCAAAAACCTTGATGATAAATTCGTTGAAAATTGTATATCATTTTGATAACGACTGGTGCGAGCATGTGTTACATTGATTTGCGGTTTTCAATTTCTTTTGGTATTAGAAAATAGCTAATTGGTTAAAGAGTTAAACATGAAAATCGAACACGCGTTAAAATATTTATCTAATGAACTTTTATGTTGTATATTGTTACAAATTAGAAAATTTCAGAAAAGAGACGATTAAAAATTTCAGGGTAATCTGTTTTAACCATTTTTTTAAACGCCTATTTGAATTATATCTATTGAATCTTCTTCTTCTTCTTCTTCTTCTTCTTCTTCTTCTTTACTACTGTGGTCCTAAACAAGCAAGAAATATTTGCAACTGCACATAAAGTAAACAACAATCGATCCATCATTATAATTATTATTATATTAGGGTATATATCCTCCATAAATATTTTGAAATGGGGTTATAGAAGTGAAGATTTTGAATTACTGAAGGACACAGTAATATAACAAAAACATCGAACTCCAAGGAAAATTGTCAAATGGCAAAATCAAAAGCTTAAACACATAAAACGAATGGAAAACACAGGGACAAAAGAGTGTTAATATCATTTTTTTTTTCCAAAACAAAATTATAAACATGGGCATATGTCTATTTTCTCTTCTTTCTGTAACTCTGGGTCCCATATAAAAATATCATCTGCACACCTATGTTAATCTTATAAGGCGAGTGTATGGCATGATATGCGTATACTATCGACAAACCAGTTTGTTTTGAGTTCATCAAATGCCAACTGTTTTTTTGTTGTTAAATTTTTTACTTTATAATATTGTAACTGATATCTGTTAACGAGTTATATATTAAGTTATAGATTAAGCATTCAATGTAACTTAACTACAGTAAAACTAGACGTTAATTACAAAGAAAGTACAAAAACACCAAAACCAATAAATATATCAAATTAACAAAACAGACTCTCTAGTTAATTTTCCCTTTTTAAACAGTGATGTTCCTTTTGTCCCTATATCTACTTACGGTGTGTATTTTTCCAAACTCGTTTGCCTTGCCAATTGTCTATTATGACGTCTTGGATTAAAATCAATCATGCATGAGAGCGCTCGACCCTTCCCTGAAACTTTAACGTTAATGTATGATGTATAAACTGTTTCTCCGTATACTACCTTAATATTTGTGACGGTTTTCTTGTTTCCGCTTGTTGTGCTAAAACTGCCAATTGCCTCCAAAAAAGTTGATACTAATTTGGTTGTTTCAATTACGCCCTTTTCTTTGTTATGTTTTGATATATTTTGTGTTTGTATCTTTTCAAAATATTGCCACGAGCATACCTGTGATTAGTGTCACAAAAAAATCTTACGACTAAAGTTAATCGTAAGTCATGAACAATTCAGTATACCTACGATCAACTTTAGATTTAAGATTTTTTGTGAAACTGAATCCTGATGAAGATTTTCCAGAACCGAGTATTGTCCGCACGGAAATCATATGATTTGTTTGTATATTTTCTATCTATTATAAATATGAATATTAATGCTAACAATGAGTTAGCATTCATTCATATTCAGATTATTTAGAATAATATAATTCCTATTGGGCGTTCTAAATGCACGGGGGCATACTTATACCAGTTGATATCTCTTATTGGCAGAAATCGGTTGATTGTTCATGCGTTCGAACTACTTAACCAACAGACGACCCTTAGCATGGGCTTACTGTCAACCGGGGGAAACTTATGTAAAAGAGAGACAAAAGATACCAAAGAGACATTCAAACTATTTATGCAACTCTATTTCTATATGCAAGTTAACTTTTTGAGTCAGATCAAAAATCTATTACAGCTGGTAAATAACCGTAACAATGCATTGATTAACTTGTATCAAAATAAAGAAGATGTTGTATGATTACCAAATAACGTAGAAAAGTTAGAAAATTATAGGTCACCATACGGTATAACAAACCATAAATGGCTCCAAAATTACAAGTGTAAAACAATTCAAACAGGAAAACAAACGGTCTGATTTATGTACAAAACATGATTGTGTGATACAATCTCACTTTTAGCCCACTATATGAATGTACTCGTATAATTACAGCTTTGTCACCATAAGTGGTTCCCGCGTATTCATAAACCAGAAGATAACATAGAACCACCTTTCATTTCGTATACATACAAAAAGCCCAGGAGAAGTTAAAAATTTATTTAAACGTCACCTACATCAGAAGTCAGTATAGAGGGGACCTTAACATCGTTCAAGACCGTGAGGTCAAAAACGTTTTGAAAAAAGGACCAAATATCGTCCTCGATCTAGAATAGGTTAGGAAAAGTGTCGTCAGGTCTTTAAAGACGCTCTAGTATCCTATTGTAAAAATTCGTGTAAAAGGAGAAAATCTGATAAATAATCTCTTGATTCTTATTTAGATAAATGTATGAATATTGTGGATATTCGAATATAAAAGTATAACAAAAATACCAAACTCCAAATTAAATAAAAAAAAAGGGGACGTTCATAAAATCCGACAAAATCAAAAGTAATCACTTAACGGAAAGAGCGAAAAACAACTGTCATATTTCTGACTTGGTATAGACATTTTTCCTGATAAGATGGTAAGGTCGATACAAAGGGAAAAAAATGTAACAAAAACACAAATGACACAAAGTACAGATCTGAGAGTACTATGAAATAATAATAAATAGCCAATAACAACTGATAAAAAATATGTGTTTAAGACTAAAATATCAAGCTGTACAAATCCGACATCCACTGGATTTAGTGTAAAGACGTCATTAACTGTATTTCTGTTAATTCACTTTACAATAACTTTGGTATTGATTGATTGTTTCACAGAAATATAAACATATCTTCTTCAAAGAACTCGGAAGTCATTCTTTAAATAACATGTTTGAACAAATCAGTTTTTTCATCAAAAAAGATATAAAAGAACAGAACAGTCTCGAATTACCCAGAGTTCAATAAAACTAAAATTCTAGTTTAAAATAAACCCAATACCCTGAGATAAATTTGAGGGAAATAGTAGGTTATTTTGATAAAATTGTACACAGTAGGACTGATGTAAAGTCAGCATGTGTTACATTAATATACGGTTTCAAATATCTGTTAGTATTATAATACTGTTGTTTTCATCTTTAAACATGACATTCGATCAATCGTTAGAAATGAATAATATAGCTAGCATAGTTTTATTATGTAATAATTGTTACACATGCAAAAATGTCAAACATATATAATACGAGTTCTGCATGTAACTTGATTTCTTTTATAACGCCTACATAGAATATCTTAAAAAATTACCAATTTGCAATATCTTTGGATGAAAAATGGAGAGCCTGTTTCCCGTAAAATATTTTAAATAAGAATCATTTTCAAATTATAATATACGGTTTCAAATGTCTGTTACTATTAACACAAACTTTGTATATTTTTTTTAGTTAGTTCAAGATATTTGATCAGTCGTTAATAATCATTAAAACAGCTTATGTAGTTTTAATTAGTGAATTGTTACGTTACAAATACACACATATATATAAACAGATACAATAAACATTTGCAGGTTACTTGATTATTTTTTTCATAACACCCATATAAAGAAAATTTTTGTCCCGATTTTTTTATTTAGGGAAAATATGTAAATGCTGTTTTGTTTTTTATATTTCTGCTACTTTTTTGACAAATACTCCTCAAAGAGAAAGAAGTTTACTACAATCAAAACAGAACGTAGTGCTTTACCATTGATTGTTCCTTTGTTATATATAGAAATTTAAATCTATGCATGTTTTTCTTATTCCTACTTTGTACCTATATTTTCTTTGTTGTCAAACATACTACTCGCTACTTGTATAGTCTACCTTTTTATCCCACTGGAATTACGGATCCAATATTATCTGTTCTCACAGTGCGAGGTTTTAACAGGAAAAGGTCATGAAATACCAACTGCGTTCCTTTTCCCATTTGTCTCCTGTTTTTTTAAATGGTCTTATATTATTATAACATGATATTTATATAAATGATCACAGAATTCTAATATACCGTGAATGCACCATAAAGGATAATTACATTGCGCACACACTACAAAATGAAAATAACAGTTTACATAAGTTTGGTGAGTTCGATTAGCTTTTCTTCTTTCCTTCATCACGAACGCTTAGCACCAACATTTTAATTCTTAAGCCAAGGATAATTACTTGAATATGTGAGGAGAAATATGACAAAAAGGGACATAAAAAGTATATTCCATCTCAGATCAACTTTGCCAAATGCAGTTGGAACCTCAGTTTTTTAATAATTTCTAAATTCATCAACACTTCAAAATGCGAAACAAACAAATGTACTTATATTTACATAGAAACGATTTTCTTTCCATAATTTCCTTTTTTGACGGACAAGTTTAC